TACTCACTATTTACTTTTAAAATCATACTTCACAGAACGTCATTTTCAAGTCAGATTGCTTACAAAAACCTCCCATTAGTATCCCATAAAATCCGGTGTCCCTCAAGGAAGTATCCTGGGTCCCCTCCTGTACCTCATATACACAGCTGATATTCCAACAACAAATACGACCACAGTAGTCATGTTTGCAGATGACACCGCCATAATATCTATCGATGATAACCACCCAAGTTGTATGAGCAAACCTTCAAAAACACCTGAACCTACTACAAGACTGGATGAATAGATGTAAAATCAAAGTTAACCATGCTAAGTCTAATCAAATTACATTCACCAGCAGGAACATCATATGTCCAAAAATCATACTGAACAACATACTACTACCAGTAAAAACAGAAGTCAAATACCTGGGAATGATACTTGATCAAAAGCTCACTTGGAAACCACACATCTTGGCAAACAGAAATCCACAGATAATAAACTTCTCTTATATAAGTGCATAATAAAGCCTACATGGACATATACAGTGCAACTATAAGACTGTGCAAATTCTTCTAATACCAAAATCATTCAGAGAATACAATCCAAAATACTCTAATGATTTTCAACGCGCCGTGGTAGGTTAGTAACAAAACACTGTATGATGACTCTGCTGTATCGTGCGTTATACACGAAATCAGCAGACTACAATCAGCAGATTATAACAAGAATTTATTTAGAACATATGCCAGCCTACCTCAACGAGGAAGCAAGACAACTACACCTCCAACCACAAGTCAGACGAAGATTGGAGAGAGTGGCCAACAGACTTTATTCACTAATTTCAATTTTAATTTTAATTTTCACTTCAATTTTAGTTTGAAATTATAATCCTACATTAATTTAATTTGTTAGTGTATTGGCATTAGTATTATTAGAGTTAATAATTTTATTGTCATTAAAATTTATTTTTCTCTAAGAACATTTTGTTCAAGAGAATCCTACATTAAGTGCTTATTAAGTTGCCCGAAAAAATAACGTCAGTTACACAACCGTTCTATGGTTACAACCATATGGTTATACATGTAAAATTTTACTCAGAATCTAACCCATGACCATTAAAAGGTTTAGTTAAAATAGGATTTTTGATATTTTCGTTCGTTATTAAAACTGTTCTTTTATTTAGATCTTTCTAGAACCACAATTTGTTTTCAAATCTTGAATGCATTTATTCGTATCAAGAAATGTCAATAAATAACATTGCATGATTTGTATTAGATCAAAATTCCATTTGCGCAATAAATGCAATCTTATGACCCAATAACACCGACATAATTAATAAATTAATGAAAGTTACTATGTCACTTCATTTTGAACTTTAAATATCTTGAAAAAAATGAATTTATCATTACGAATGAAGAGTAAGAGTATGTTATAATACGTGTATATAGGGAGGTCCTTAAGTAATTGTACAAAAAGAAACCACAGATTCTATACTTTAAAATATTACGATTTAAGCCAACTTACTTTAATAAAATGTTGATATTAAAAAAGATACAGGGTGTTAAAGTGGAAATTAAAAATTTTATTTTTCGCTATAACTTTTATGTTTGTAAACATTTATATACAAAAATTTACAGCTGGATACTATTTAATATTTGGAATTATAATTTGATGAACACTTTGATATAGCTAATAGAGGGCGCCACATATGCCACATACGTGGCAAATTTGCACTTAACTTTTTTGTTATTTAAGTTACCGGTATTTAGAATAAAAAATATTAAAGATACATTATTTTAACAAAAAAAGGTATACTTGTTAATAACTTCAAAACTCAATAGTTTTCGAGATAATCGCATTTTACAAATCAACTGCATAATTCTGATTTAACGCAATTACTCCAGGCAATGAAAGAAAAATAGATAAAAACATCAATACTTCTGAATTTTGTTATAAAATACTTTAATAAAGTCAATAATTAAATAAAATAAATATATCAGCAGGATAATTAATAATAGGATTTGATAAAATAACAGAATAATTGGATTTTACTTTAAACATTTTATTTTAATTTTTATTAAATTAAAGTCATAATCAAAACAAACCAAATTAAGAAATAGTTAAACTAAATAACAATAAACTTTTTGTCAAAGTAAGTGTTTACTATGTCCACCATTTTCTTTAATTCATTTGTCAATACATTCCATAAAATATCGTCTATTATAAGTGTTATAAGTATAATAATAAGTAATTTTTTGAAATGTTTATGAATTAAATAATTATATTAATATCTCACCACAAGGGAGAAATGTCTCAATGTGTCAACATCAGGTCAATCACATTTCTCCCAACATATCCATCGAACAAACCACATCTTTGATCCACAAACAGACTTCACAATCCTTCATACTTGTAATAAAGGCTCCTTATGAAATAACCTAGAACATTTAGAAATTCTAAAATCATTAAAAAATCACACAGAAGTTACACTAAATGCACAATTAGAACTGGAATACACACCAGTATACTCAGTATTAATATAAAAAATTTATATACATATCATTACCTGATACCACTCCATTTCTTGTTCCCACAGCAAACTTATAGAATTGTTGCCACAAACTTCAACTTTTCATATTAGTTTTCCATATATTATCCTAATCATTACATATTTTTCAGAAGTAACTTCAATATTATGGTCAAACAACATTTATTTCAGAATTCCATATATAATAAGATGCATTTGATACACCTCTTAGATCATTCCAATCTTCTATTTCAAAATAAAAGTCAGGCCACTTGGATCTAGTTCTTTGTTCATAGAATTTCTTTAACATTTTAACATACTACCGGAAACAATTTTTCCTAAAACTACATTAAATATCAGTGTTGAACTGGTATGGTACCTCAACTTATTTAACCCACAATTATTATTACATTCCATCTGGTTCCGAAATATACTCATCTTACAAAAAAATTTGATTTCAAACTCAACACGTGTTTTGATTATCATCAAAAATAACATGTTAATCGTTCATACTAGCTGTATTAATTGAATACATCTTTACTAATTACAATTATACACAAATTTACATTTCAAATAGAAATATTAATTTTCACAAACAGCTATTAATTGAAAAAAAAAATTTTAAAGTGTTACTTAAAACAATTGTACAAACTCACCATTGTCCATGTAGGTGTGAGGAATATCTGTTCATATGACACCGAAAATTGAAATTAGAATAAATTTACCTTATACCGGTTTAAATAGACGATCATTCTACCTGTTCGTATAACAATTTCCGGTTCCAACTGTAGGATATTAGAACTACCAACTAATTATTGAAGGCTTTATAATTCAGTCAATTTCTTGAGCCCACAAATTAATTACCATCAATAATTATCCATTTGTTGCTTTGGTTACATATTAGTATATTAGATATTAATATATCAGATTTTGAAAAAATATCTCTAATAATTAAAAAATACCCGGACAGATAACTCATACCTACATCAATTTCAAATAGAAAATAAAAAACTTTGTAAACTTATTATACATTTGATTATTAAATGTACATGTTCAGTTGCCAAAGAATTTACTTTAATTGGTTCAGTAATTTAGACATTAGACTGAGTTAGTTATATTGTAGGATGTATTTTAATCAACCATATTTTTACATTAAATTTGATTAATTAAAGATTGTTAAAGTATGCCAATATTAAACACATCAATTTACTTTTGATATATCTAAATTGAAACAGTTTTATAGACATTCAATAATAACAACATATTTTATGAAACTAGATAACTTAACTTACAGTATTGAGAAACAGAAGAAGAACTGTCACATGCTAACCTACATCTGCCAAAATTTACCACTAAAATCTAATAGATACAACAATAAAAAACTCATTGTGCCCAAGACTATGATGTAGTGCATTAAAGTCCTTCCCCCTTTTAAATTCAATGTTTGTTTCGTCCCTTCTAAGTGTTTTCTGTTTTAGTGTGTTTAAATTATCCTTAATTGTTTGTATTTTACCATTTTATTCACTTGACTATTCCAATAATTAACTCATTGCCAATAGAACTTTATCAAAGTAATTTGATAACTACAAGTTGGAAAATAATTGCACACCCACACAATTTTTACATCTACACTTATTCATTGTCATAAAACTGTCACCTTCATAAAACAATTACTCAATAAATAACACACATTTCAAAAATATATCTCTGGAATAAGTATAAATAACCTTTAATAACACAATAGTATATTACATCACTTACATTTAACAAACAATCTCACACATATCTCAAATTCATTGGATCAAATCTATCTCCTCAAGAACTTCCCGTTTACTGTCAAACAACTGCAATAATAGTATTGAGTTGTCCATTCAACAATATAAAGTAGTTTCAAACATGTTCTACCATCCATCTATTAATAGAGTACCGGCATGTAAGTAATGTTTATTTTATTTATTTATTTGCTCATTTATTAATTTATTACAATCGAAGAGACTATTTTATAACAATTTGTGGGCCTTACCTTGTCTGTTTAACCTTTTTAAAAAAAATTTTATACTTTTTATTCAACTTAATCATTTAAATAAAACCACAGACATGTAATATTGGCATAATTATTGTAATTTATAACATCTAATTTGTTTATCTTTATTAGACAACACCCTAATATGGGTTTTTATCATTTCAGCATTTGTTTAACTTTGTATCGAGACCTGAAGATGCTTTGCATATTGTAGAAAGCGAAACCGGTCGTCTGATAGTTAAATTAAATTGGTTGTGAGTAAGTCTTATTTATTATTTCTTTACCTATATAAAATTTTAAATTTCCACTTTAACACCCTGTATCTTTCTTAATATCAACATTTTATTAAAGCAACTTGACTTAAATCGTAATATTTTAAAGTGTAGAATCTACGGCTTCTTTTTGTATAATTACTTAAGGACCACCCTGTATATTTTTACTTCGTTTAATTAATTAAAAAAATTATATACTGTCTATTAAAAACTATTTATTAAGCTTGGGTATAAATGAAATAATCTAAATTACACAAACTTTTAAAAATACACTAAATCATTTTTCCAATCAAAATATTTTTTAATCCTTTGCACACAATCGCCGTTGATGTGATTATCTCCCAAAAATAATCTCTTTACACCATGAAAACTGTTTACGGTCCGGTTGGTAAAACAAATAAAGGAATTAGTGTTCATGTATAGTGTCAACAAAAATTCGAACCGGCTAAATACTTTATCAGGCAGTTCCATGATTTTATTATTACTCAAACTAATCGCTCCGAAATACCTTAGGTTGCTGAAGGCATCCTGATGAATAAATCGAATACCATTATTATCAAAATTGATAGCACCAAATACTTTGAACGATGGTTTGTCGAAAGATTCTACCATATATTTTGTAGTCTCCGCTGGTAGCTCCCTCAATTCATTATGTGTAAAACTTAACTCATAGAAGACACTAGCACCAATAAACCATTCCGAATTGAATGATTCAGCTTATTGAAATCCAACGCAATAGCTTCTAGTTTGTGCATATCTTTAAAAGCTCCATCATCAATATATCCAATTTGATTATCACTTAACACCAAACTTCTTATACTAGTACCATTAAACAATCCTAGAGGAATATTTTTCAACTGGTTATATTGTATAAATACCTGTTCCAAATGTCTACTATTAAACAAACCAGGTTCCATGTACTGTAAATTGATTTTGTAGAATATAATCTCCTGCAACGTGTTGTACTTGGTAGCATCCTTACATATTTGCGGAATATTTTGTTCATCTCTGACTATCATATACTTCACCTGGCCCTCGGGTGGTACGTATGTATGCCAAGGATAGTACATAAAGTTTTCTTTGGTACTAAAGAAGTACGAACCATCTCGAAGGTAGCTAGGATTGCAAGATTTTGAGGTTATAGTTGACACAGTAATCGATATTAAAATTAGAACAGTCGTTTTTAACAGCATGTTGATTAATGAATGTTTTTATATGTTACATTTCACTGAAAAAGATAATCTTTAACCTTCGTTGTAGATATACAGGGTCGTGCTGTTTCGTGGAAGTGTTTATAAAAATCACAAGTAAACCCAAATTTTGCGTTTAAAATGAAATATGATAATACTGTAGATTTTAAGGTCATCTGAGAAAAAAACATATACATAAAAACATAAAAAAAACACATTTATAATTACTTGGTGTTTGTATCCAGAAGAATATTAAAATCCAGTTTAAAAATTTTAAAAATGTATGATATTAATTTTTTCCATTGAAAAACCGTAGCAGTCCTTTCCCAAGTTAATATTTTCTATATATTTTTTTACTAAGTTGTATTCCTATATATATACATATATATATATATATATATATATATATATATATATATATATATACATATATATATTATATATATATGTATATATACATATATATATATATATATTATATATATATATATATATATACATATATATATATATATATATATATATATATATATATATACAGTGCTAGTCCATTTCCGGACTTCTGACTATTATTAAAAGATTCCTCGTATCTTGTGAATGGTTATACTTATAATACTGAAATTTGGAGAGAGATAATAAACAGACGTAGGCTTCCTAACTAGTTATATCAAGTAACGTAATAGTGACAGATGACGTTACAGTGCTATGTGACAGATCATTTTAAATAGGACCTTATAGCAAGTAATATCTCGTTTAAAAGGTATTAAAAAGACCTATTCAACCACACTAATTTTATTTGAGTTTAAGGGTCGTGCTGTTTTGTGGAAGTGTTTATAAAAATCACAAGTAAACCCAAATTTTGCGTTTAAAATGAAATATGATAATACTGTAGATTTTAAGGTCATCTGAGAAAAAAACATATACATAAAAACATAAAAAAACACATTTATAATTACTTGGTGTTTGTATCCAGAAGAATATTAAAATCCAGTTTAAAAATTTTAAAAATGTATGATATTAATTTTTTCCATTGAAAAACCGTAGCAGTCCTTTCCCAAGTTAATATTTTCTATATATTTTTTTACTAAGTTGTATTCCTATATATATACATATATATATATATATATATATATATATATATATATATATATATATATATATATATATATATATATATATACATATATATATATATATGTATATATACATATATATATATATATTATATATATATATACATATATATATATATATATATATATATATATATATATATATATATATATATACAGTGCTAGTCCATTTCCGACTTCTGACTATTATTAAAAGATTCCTCGTATCTTGTGAATGGTTATACTTATAATACTGAAATTTGGAGAGAGATAATAAACAGACGTAGGCTTCCTAACTAGTTATATCAAGTAACGTAATAGTTACAGATGACGTTACAGTGCTATGTGACAGATAATTTTAAATAGGACCTTATAGCAAGTAATATCTCGTTTAAAAGGTATTAAAAAGACCTATTCAACCATACTAATTTTATTTGAGTTTAAGGGTCGTGCTGTTTTGTGGAAGTGTTTATAAAAATCACAAGTAAACCCAAATTTTGCGTTTAAAATGAAATATGATAATACTGTAGATTTTAAGGTCATCTGAGAAAAAAACATATACATAAAAACATAAAAAAACACATTTATAATTACTTGGTGTTTGTATCCAGAAGAATATTAAAATCCAGTTTAAAAATTTTAAAAATGTATGATATTAATTTTTTCCATTGAAAAACTGTAGCAGTCCTTTCCCAAGTTAATATTTTCTATATTTTTTTTTACTAAGTTGTATTCCTATATTCCTATATAATATACATATATATATATATATATATATATATATATATATATATATATATATATATACAGTGCTAGTCCATTCCCGGACTTCTGACTATTATTAAAAGATTCCTCGTATCTTGTGAATGGTTATATTTATAATACTGAAATTTGGAGAGAGATAATAAACAGACGTAGGCTTCTTAACTAGTTATAACAAGTAACGTAATAGTGACAGATGACGGGACAATTCTATGTGACAGATAATTTTAAATAGGACCTTATAGCAAGTAATATCTCGTTTAAAAGGTATTAAAAAGACCTATTCAACCATACTAATTTTATTTGAGTTTAAGCTCATTTTGATGAATAAATTAAATTAATACTAAAATTGTAGTCTCGCATTTAATTAATCAATCGTAAAACCTATGCCTTTGGTTACTTGTCAAAAAGTTCCGTTACATGTTTTGGTGGTAAAAAGAAAAGCTCCATGAAAGAAGAGGCCCAAACCTTACGGTGGCCATGAGAAGACAGGAAAGGGAAAGGCTAATTGAAAGATGGCAAGAAGAATTGAGCAACACAAAGGATGTGACTCAGTGGACGAAAATGCTGATCCCGATCATAAGAGATTAGGTGCACTGTGGCCACAGGCGACTGGATTATCTCCTAACGCAGGTGCTCACAGGACACGGGTGTTCTAGGGCCTACCTCTAGGTTCCGAAAGGCTGACACAGATGAATGCCTATACTGTGGACACTCGGACACTGTGGCACATACGATGTTAGATTGAAGTAGATGGATAGTGGAAAGGAACAGAATCGGAGAGACAGGTGTGAATTTTGTTACAGTGCGAGAGACAGGTTTGAATTTTGTTACAGTGAGAAAAAAGAGAATGATTGAAAATAAATCAGATTGGAATAACATACACAACTATATCCATGCAGTGATCAAGAAAAACGAAGAGGAAGAAAGAGAGCTGGACCGGCAAAGGTAAGATTGAAAGATGCTGGAAGTTGAAGCGAGAAAAGTAAGTCAGACTGTATGAGTAAGAATGCGTGATTCAGACTGTGGGGAAGAAGGAAATGCCCATCTAGGAATGATGCCATACTAGGAGCGATAAGGGTCGTCTACGCACTACCTGAAACGAGACAGGGAGCCTCCTTGCTAATGAATGGAGTGTGGATGTGGATGAATTTAGAAGTAATGATGAAGGTAGTGTTTCGGAAGTGATAACGGCCTTACAGCAGCCATTCCGCTTCCGGATCACTGGATAACAGAGGAAAGTCTGGCTTAGCAGGTAGGCGTTTGGCGTAGACTTGGAGACGAGAGGGTATTTTTAATCACCTCGGAAACTATTGTTAAGAGTACGAAGAACGAATCCTGCACTAAGGTCAGTTAGGCGGCGTCCTGGACTGAGATGTTTTTTGAAGATTCCAGACGTCACCTCTATAAAGACCAAAAAAAACATTGTTTTTAGTTACTTGCTCTTAGTTAGTATTTAATTTAATTGTTGTTTAACGAGACGTTTAAATTTTTTACAAAGGCAGAATGGTACGTACTGTAGCCGACAAAGTAACAGCTGTGTTAATAATTGGTAAATGTGGAAATAATTTTCATGCAGCGGAACGTCTTTTTAATGAGAGGTACCGCGATCGCCCTATATCGAGAGCTTATTTGAGGAAGCATCTTCGCAAGTTTAAACAAACAGGTAGTGGTTAAGATCTTTCAAATGATCTGGTCGACCAATAATTAGTGATGACAAAAAAATTGACATAATTTCAGAAATGGTAGTGAACCCTTCTTCTTCTGCAGCCCAAGTTGCATATTTTTATGGAATAAATCAAAAGACAGTACACTGAGATTTGGTTGAAAACAAATTTCATTCATACAAATTAAAAATTGTGCACCAAATTAGCCAACAGCCCGATTACATAAAAATAATTTGTTTTAGTGGCCAAAGGAGTTTTTCTCCCATAGCCTCTTACTCAATTTAAAAAAAAATAAATATTTCGGCAGGTATTTTGGAAAACCATATAGTTGGGCCTGTTTTTTTCAATAATAACTTAACCGGTAAAGTGTATCTGGAGATGTTACAGAATTCGGAAGACGGTGCCATTATGCTGCATTATTTAGATGAGAAATATCGTGGTAGATAGATTGGACGACAAGGTATGATCATTGGACCTCACACGATTAGATTTTTTTCTGTGGCGATACTTAAATCTAAAGTTAACACTACAGCACCCGAAAATATTGATAACATGAAACAAGGAATTGTTGAAAAATATAGGGCAATTTCCTCCTACACATTTGAACGAGCATTTTATCAAGGTACTTTTATTAATAAAACAAAAGCAATTGTTAAATTGTTGAATGATACTATTGCTAAATATAAAAAGTTATTGTAATTAATCCTATAACACCTAGGTTATATGGACTTCCTAAAATCCATAAACATAATTGCATAAGGCCTATTGTAAGTTTTTGTAACACTTCAGTTTCTATATTATTATTTTATTTACAACACAATTTAGTCTATCACGAATTTTAAACCTAAGTTCTCCATTACCGATTCTTTAGATCTAATAGAACGTTTAAGTGACATTAAAATAAAAGAGAGTTTTTATTTAGTTTCTTTTGATGTTTCCAATTTGTTTACTTCTGTACCAAAAAGTGAAACATTACCTTTAGTATAGAACCTTCTAAACAATTGCAACATACCAGCAAAAGACAAAGATGCCATCTTTGTCAACCAACAGGTTTAGCGATGGGATCTCCATTATCACCTTTTCTAGCTGATATTAAAAAGCTTCTTCTTCTTTTGTTCTTCGGCTTTTCCCATTATGAGTTCGCCGTTTTCGTCCTCCACAGCACTTTATTCTCCCAGTCTCCTTCTCTGAGGTCTCTATCTATCATAGCATTTCCGACGTATGTTTTCCTTATTGTTCTGAAGCTATTTTCTTGTGGCATTTTAAATTAATTACTATTTAACTGGGAATAAGCCACAATTTAAGATAAAAATACGTTTTCCGCAAATCGCCAGGAAATTTTGACATTCCTGTCAAAATTTCTTGAAGAAAAAGTCAGGACTTCCTTACTGTAAGGAAATGATATTTCCGTACAGTTGTTAGTGTTCTACATAAATGATAGAAAACACATTGCTTATAAGAAATTAATTTAT